ATAAACGCCTCTACGCCATCGCGCAGGTCTTTGCCGAGAAAACCAAGACCGTGGAGGAGATCCACGAGCTCACGGCCATCGACCACTGGTTCCTCCGCCGCCTGGAGCGAATCTCCAAGCAGCGCGACGTCCTGCTCAAGCACGGGAACGGAAAAGGGGCCTTGGACTCGCTTTCCGCGGAGGAATTGGCCATGTCGAAGAAGCTGGGATACTCAGACCGGCAATTGGGGGCCTTGCTGGGCACTACCGATGACGCAGTGCGGGCAAAGCGGGAGGCCGCAGGCATCGTTCCCTCTGTGAAGCAGATCGACACCTTGGCGGCTGAATACCCGGCCAAGACCAACTACCTCTACTGCACGTACAACGGGTCCGAGGACGACGTGGTCACGGGGGAAGGCGGGGTCATCGTCCTGGGCTCGGGGACCTACCGGATCGGCTCCTCGGTCGAGTTTGACTGGTGCGGTGTGTCGGCCATCCGGGCCTTGCGCGGGATGGGGTACAGGACCACGATGGTGAACTACAACCCGGAGACGGTCTCCACGGACTACGATGAATGCGACCAGCTTTACTTCGACGAGCTGAGCAAGGAGCGTATCGTGGACATCTACCAGCGCGAGGGGGCTCAGGGCGTGGTGGTGTCCGTCGGGGGACAGATCCCCAACAACTTGGCCATGCCGCTGCACAAGGTGGGCGTAAAAATCATGGGCACGACCCCGGAGATGATCGACCAAGCGGAGGACCGCTTCAAATTCTCGGCGTTGATGGACTCCCTCGGGATCCAGCAGCCGGCGTGGAAGGAGTTGGCGGACACAAAGTCAGCCCTGGCCTTTGCCAAGCAAGTGGGTTACCCCGTTTTGGTCCGCCCCTCCTACGTGCTGTCTGGGGCGGCCATGTCGGTGGCATTCAATGACGAGGCCCTCCTGCGCGTCCTCAGCGTGGCGGCTGACGTGTCGCAGGAGCACCCCGTGGTCATCACCAAGTTTGTGAACGGTGCGAATGAGATCGAGATGGACGCGGTGGCCCAAGACGGGGTGGTGATGGCGGCTGCGATGCACGAGCACGTGGAGAATGCAGGCGTGCATTCCGGAGACGCCACCTTGATGTTGCCCCCGCAGCGGATCTCTGCGTACACGGCCATGCGCGTGAATGAAGCTACCCGGAAGATCGCCAAGGCACTGAACATCACCGGACCCTTCAACATGCAATTCCTTTCCAAAGGGAAGGACGTGAGCGTCATCGAGTGCAATCTCCGGGCCTCTCGCTCCGTGCCCTTCGTCTCCAAGACTATGGGCGTGGACTTCATTGAGGCAGCCGCGCGTTGCATGGTAGGCGAGGACGTGACGGGCATGAATCTTCCCCAGCTGGGGCAGACGGGCCGACCCAAGGGCTACGTCGGAGTGAAGGCGCCCATGTTCTCCTTCACCCGCCTGCGTGGCGCCGACCCGGTGCTCGGGGTGGAGATGGCGTCGACAGGGGAGGTCGCCTGTTTCGGGGCCAACATCCACGAAGCCTTCTTGAAGGCCCTCATCTCCACGGGCTTCAAAGTCCCGGAGAAGAACATCCTGTTCTCCGTGCAGGACTCCCTGCGCGACGACGTCATCCACGCGGCTTTCCAGCTCCACACCCTCGGCTATAATCTCTACGCCACGCGGGCCACGCACGACTTCCTCCTGTCCTGCCACGTCCCTTGCCACCTCCTCCACTACCCGAACCAGCCCGAAAAGCACCCGAACGTCTTGGAGCACTTGAAAAATGGGAAAATAGACCTGGTCATCAACCTTCCTACCCCAGAGAGCAAGCAGGTGGAAAATAATTACCTGATGCGTCGAACCGCGGTGGACTTTGGCGTTCCTCTGTTGACCAACATCCATCTGACCAAGCTGTTCGCAGAAGCGATGACCAAATACAAGAAAGGTGAGCTGATCGGTATCGAGTCCCAGAACCTGTTCGATTACTACAACGCCGAGGCCCCCGAAGAGGCGTGGACCTCGCCTTCGGAGTTCCATTAATGTGGCCCGCAGACTCTTGCGGGCCCGGGGGAAGGGAAGGGGGAAGGAAAATTGCGGTTGGTGAAGAGAAGATGGATAGTGAAAGGAAGGTGAGGGGTTTTATGAACAGGAAAGTGCGCTTTGCCTATCGACATGGAATTTTGGTTTCAAGAAGTGCATTTTTTTTAATTGCGCGGTCCCACTCATGTGAGGAGCGCGCCAAGGAAATGGACATGCAGACACGAGGAAACACACGGAAACATTTGTACATGAACGAGAGGGAGTTCGAAGGATGGCGAGAGAGAAATGACGCATGTGTGAGTCTTATTCTTTAAGAAACAAACTGTTGTCGACGAGGAAAAGCTTCGCGTGTTTGACAATGCATGGGTACATGTCGAAGACGGGCACTGTTCAACGGAGTGAGATCGCTGTGAGCGCAACCGAGAACGCTTGCCAACTACCGCAAAGCTACCCAGAGCATATCAAGTTTTACCTTTTGCTTTCATCTCTCGCTTTGTTGGCACGTAAATGCAGTGGTGGTATGTAGGCTCTCCCAAATGTCTTCTCCACAGGCATGTCGCGCAGAACCGCCACCCCCTAGTACAGCAACAAGTGGTTTGAGATACGAATTTTGAGGCTTTTCATCCATTGGATCGAGCAAATGAGTCGCTCCGCATGATGGGAACATACTGCCCGCACCAGGGTAGTCTGCCCTCGCTCGTCGCCGACCGGCCCATGCGAACCGTGATGACATGCGTTCATCCGGCAATTAAGGACCTTTCCGACGATAGTGCCGGCTTTGGGGATCACATCGGCGATTTAACCAGACAAATATTTCCCCGACGTATAAGAGGTATGAAGCGGAACGAGGCCCGGGTCACTAAAGCGCGGAATGCAAGCACGACGGGTCCGGCTACCTCTGCCCCTCCGCAGCAGCCTGCGCCGCCCCTGAGGACAGCCGGCAGAATGCAACGCACCTCTCAAAGTCCCTCCGTGGACGATACCGCCTTTCAGCAAGGACTGATTTTGCTGGCAGCAGGGACGCTTGCTGCCTTTGTTTTGATGCGCACCCTTTCTGCACTGCTTCGGTCGTTGCCGCTCTTGGCTCTGGGCATGTATCTTAGTAGACCAAGTTTTGAAAGTTTTGTCGAGTTTCTCTCCACCTCAGAGAAAATAGGGGACATTAATTGTGCGACAAAGAAGTCCTCTTTGAATGCTGCTGGTACCTCAACCGCCTCATCGGGCGTCTGGTTTAAAAACGTGATCAGAAAAACCTTAGGGAAATCGTCCGAAGCACTTTTTACGAATCCAGTGCGCGTTTGGAAGTGCCTAGACATGGGACTTTTCGTAGTGTGTAAGAAACAGAAGTCCGCGTTGGAAGAGCTGTCAGCAAATCTGACCGGGAGGTCGACCCGGTATGGCAAGCACGTCTTCGCCGTGGGCATGTGCCGCCAGTGGTTATTATTGGACCCGGGGTGTTTAGACCCTGGGAAGGGGGAGGAGTGGCCCTGGTGGGAATTGTATGCGTACAATGCAGCCTGCGTCTGTTCCATGCGTGTATCGGATGCCTGGTGGCATGCTTTGCCTTCTTTTGCGGCCCACGAACGGAGCTCTCGGACACAAGCCACGCTAGGTACCGCTACGGCCGCAGCCATGGCGGAGGAGGCCTTGCAAGACATTGTTGGGGGATGCCTGGATGACAGCCGCAAGTACGGTGGTGTCGATCAAGTCGACGTAGGCGTCCCGGTCCGGGATAGGAGGGTGGGGATGGTCGGAAATTGCACGCCTGGCGCGGACGGACCTCCTATGCGCAGGCACCTGCAGGCGGCCCAGGCCCTGGCAGAGCGCGGGAACTTCCAGGAGGCTGGGCGGACGGTGGAAATGGGAGTGAAAGACGCGCGGGGCCAATTGCGGGGTGGAAGCGAGGAAGAAAGGGAGATGTGGTCCGTGGCCGGTGCCTTCTACGAGGCAGGGCGGTCGTCCTCCACATGTCGGGCCGGGCGCCTTCGTTGTCTGGGAGAGGTCGCACGACTTTGGGTCGCGCAAGAGCGGTGGGAAAAAGCTGCCGAGCTCTTTCAAGAATGCGTGGCAGCTTGCACAGAAGCTCAGGCATGTGCCCGCGCCCCTGCCCTCAGGGAGGGCCCCCAATATGCCTTGTCCTCCGTGCTGGCACTGGCTATGTACGGGGATACCCTGCAGGCAACGGCCTGGCATACTAGCTTATGCGATTCACATTCATGGTACGGCGTGACTCCCGAGGCAGGGCTGGCGGGGGAGATACTGCGGGGGCTGGAGCAGCACAATCCCCGGGTGATTCAAGTGGGCGTAGAGGCATATCGAAAGCAGCGCCAAGGGGCACCCAGCGGGAGGGCCTTGGCGGAGTGGGAGGAGGGGGCGGTGATGAAGCTCATGCAACGTGCGGATGCCCTAGTCTTGCTGTGAGGCTTGTTAGTGGGTACAGATGCCAGGAGAGACCAACTCCCGCTTGCGAGGCGTCACAAGACACCACCACATCGCCCCCTCTTGCGAATCGGTCACCACTTTTTTCTTTGTCACATCTTGCATGCCTGCAGGGCGGTGCACGGAAACGAGTGCTTCGACTGGACGCGGTGTGGGATTCACAACATCCTTCCTTTCGGAGGAGCCACCACATGCCAGCAAAACGAAACTCAAGCTTTAGCCCATGTGTGTGCCGACCGAGGCTGACTGCTGGCATTTCATGTCGGTGGGTCAACGTGAGGAAACTCCATTAACGATCTCCGATTTCATTCGGTAGAAAGATACCGTCATCGAGAAAGAATGCTGGAAGATGCGCAAGCACGCCACTAGCGAGGAGTCTCGTCACGCCCTTTAATGTGGCGATGCCAGGGAAAAATCGTCGCTGCAGAGCTGTAAATGAGAGGGCCATTCCTTTAGGCGGAGGACCAAATCATTTCTTCTGCCCTCGGAACGCAGAAAGGGACAGGTGTAAGAAAAAGTAATAAAAGGGCTCGCGTGCGTGTGGAAACCGTTTTTTAGAGACGCGACATTATTTTTTGGGACCACCCTCACATTTTACGCCACCGCTTCCTCTTCGTCCACCTCCGACACTGCCTTTTGGTCGTGAGGATGTGGGCTACAAGCAGCAATTCGGACATATTTTTTCTTGCTATGTACGTCGTACGTAAACTTTACCCAGCCTGGTCTTAAGGCGAAAAGCGTATAGTCCCTCCCAACGCCTACACCATCACCCGCCTTGAATGTCAGCCCTCGTTGCCGCACCAAAATATTGCCTGCTATCACTTCTTGCCCCCCAAATTTCTTGACACCCAGACGCTGGCCTGGTGAGTCACGTCCGTTTTTCGACGAGCCCCCCGCCTTCTTGGTCGCTGTGCGGCAGCTCATGCCTCCCCAAACCATCTCGCTGCGTCTGAGGGCAGACGTGATTGCGGCATTGGATGCGGGAGTGCCCGAATGCACCAAGTGTCTGGTCGAACTCCAAGTACTCGGGCTCCAAATCCTGGAGAGCATGCTCCCTGAGGAGGGCCAAAGGGAAATACATCAGTTAACACGGGGAAATACAGTTGGTATATGTCATTACCATGGGGAAGAGAAGAGATGGACATACAAGCGACGGTCGAAAACTCACGTGCAACGTCCGATTAGGAAGTCAACCTAGCAGCCTTTGCCCGAGACACATCAGGCAGCAAGAGCGAGGGCCCGCGCAGGGAGGGAGAGGAGAGGGGTAAGCGAGCGCAGGCGGCGACCCCCCCAAAAACACTTCCCGACTGGACTGGTCTCGTTTTGAGATGGTTTCAGTCGCTTCGTGCAAAACTGAGGAGTATTGTAGCTCTCGTCGTCGCGAGCATTGTCTCGGTTGGCTTTCTAACTCAGCAAGCATCACGTACAGGAAGGCTGAAGCGACACGTCATCGTCATCCGTCATGGTCATATTACCCCACCATGTGCCACATTCAAGCTCCCTGACAATCTTACTTCTCATTACGATCAGCCATTCGCGGGCATTTTATATTTTGGCGCCTCTCGTTGAGAGATCACGCGCAGTTTTATCGGCCGTCTCCTCCGACGCGCCTCCTGCTCCGTCTTCCAATAGACCAGTCGTGATTTACGAAGGCTTTTGGCATGAAGCCAAGGCCATGATGGACGCTCGTCAAAGCTCTTTGCCTTGGAAATCACAAACAATTCCTTTTGACTTACAGCGCAAGGTATGTACAACACCAGCCAAGGGCAAGCGTCTCGAAACAGTCACAGTTGCTGAGGTGTTTGCCTACACTGTCCCCGGCCGCATTCGCCAAGCTCGGGCAGCCGTCCTGTCAACCATTCCTGAGGAAGCCCCTCCTAAAGTTCTGAATTTTGTCGTCTTCCCAGATTTTTCATACGATTTGCCGATATTCGGCGCAGATTTCGTTTCCTTGCCTGGCGGACATTTGGTAGTCTTGGACTTTCAGCCGGTATCAAGCACATCCTTGTCGGTGGCGGAAAAAGCTCTACGCGACATACATGCTCATTACAGCGCATTGCTACCAAGCCATGGGGAGATTCCAGACGCAGCTCGGTCATTTTTTTCGCCTTACTACATGTTTATCAGGGTGGAAGGGGACGCGCTGGTGGAGACGACCGTGCTTGCGGCTTTCAAAGCGTACTTTTCGGCATATCTTGACCTGGTCGAGCATGCCTCTCCCATACCCGTCGAAGAAACATCTAGATTGTTGGAGGTCCAAGAGGGACACCGCAATTATGCGACTTATCGGGCAGTGAATGACCCGGCGCGAGGGATGCTTACCCGGATGTATGGGCGTTCGTGGACAGAGCGGCTGATCTACGAGGTGCTGTTTGAGCAAGCAGATAGGGAGTTGGAGGATGATGGAGGAATAACGGTGGAAGCTGTGAGGTCTGGGGGTACGGGGGGCTGATGCGGGTGCTGAGGCGGTGCAAAGGAGGCAGAAAATGGAATTTTGTCACGGTGCCGTTTTCAGAGGGGTAAAGCATGTAAAGATCGAGCGAAGAAAATAACAACAAAGCACGCCGGAAAGCGTCATGCACGGGCCTTGTTTATGAGGGTAGTGTACTCTTGCTTCCTGCTCTTGCCCTACGTGGCTCCGTCCCGGTCACAGGAGGCCCACATTCAAGACCTCCACCCTCTTCAAGAAGGACCCTTGCCGGTTCACAGCCCGTTCGTCATTGAGTGACTTGGCCATGGACAGGAAAAGCTTCTTCTGGTTTGTGAAGAGGCTGTTCAAGGCCTCTGGCTGTTCCCCTGCGCTCTCGTAGGTGTATATTGGGACCTGGTTCGCAAGCATGTTTGGCACAGGAGGAGAGCATGAGCAACAAGTCGTTTAGGAACGTGACTGGGGGGCTTGCTATGATCGAGACACTAGAAAAGAGTAAAAAAGGGAGGAGGGAATGCGAGGAAAGCAACGACATGGGCGCACCTTTTCCATCGCATCCAGCGCCTCCTGTCCCTCTAAGAGGATCCCGAAGACAATTGAGTCCCCGTTGTCCAAAGCTGGTTGGGGGCCCAAAGTCATTTCAAAAACTGGATCCACGGCATCCTGGGTGCTACTCTTCGTCAATAAGCCTCTTCGATCGTGCTTCAGGGCTAGCGTGGGCTCGTCCATGCCCTTAGCACCCAGCAGCTGGTCTCCGTACTCGTATTCTCGCGTCCCTGCAATTTCGATCTCTTTCAGGCCTTTGATGCGTCCAGCTTCCACAGATACGCCTGGCGTGCGCTTCGTGAGGCTTGAGAATGCATAGCTTGGAAAGTTTCCGCCATAGGGAGCTTTTGTGTATTTTATGAATTCCCCAACCACTATTGGGGCTGCCTTACCGAACAAACCAAAAACCATGCGTCCTACGAAATCCTCGCTCGTGGCTTTTTCCTCTCCGGTTACGAAGCCCGTTATACGCACATCGAAAAATGCTTTTGCCGTTATTTCTGCGGGGTACGGTAGCCTTTTGGAATTTTTTGTAGCGGCATTGGAAGGAGAAAGAGGGGTATATGTAATGACTGCAGCGCATGTTGCGATAGCTACGGAGGAGGTTAAGCTGGCAAGTGCTTGGCGGCGGTCGGACAGCGCGAAGGAAGATGAAGAGGCGACGGAGGAAGAGAACGAAGAAGAAGATGAGGAGGAGGATTGGGAGGAGGGCGGGGAAAACAAGGAACTTGCGGAAGTGGGCGAGGCGGAGGAGAAGGAAGGAGTGGAGGATGGAGACGAGTGTAGCACAATATTTCCAATGCTTTTGGCTGCGGAGCCGGATGATATGGCATGAAAGCATTCGACAATGTCGATTGTAGCGAAAAATACGGAGAGCACCCTCGCAGTTGTTGAAATGTTCTGCTTCATCTTCTGTCGTTGGAACCGCAATTGAAGCTGTACAGAGGCCAGTGCCCTTTTCCGCCTGGAAAGTAAGTGACAGCCAAATAACACCGCGAAAAATCAAAAGTGTATTGACACAGCCTCAACAAAGCCACTCTTGTTGTAAAGCATTTTTAGGCGTCGTTGTACACTACAAAACAGGGTCAACCAGAAGCTCACGCTTGCAACCTCGGAGCTCGCTAACTAGCTGTGATGGAAAAGGTACCTTCGACTTCCGATTCCCCATCCTTAGTTCTGTCTTAACCCACCATTCGAACCCATCGGGGAAAACACAGGGCGTCTTGCGTCATGCAAGGGGCACGATTGTTACCGACGTTTGCCAGGGGGCATCGTCGGTGTGCGACGCTGGTCCGTCTTTTTTCTGCGTCCACTCAAGAGCCACAGACGAGAGTTCTGACTCGTCGGGACTGTCGCCCGCCTGTGGTCAGAGCGTTCAAGGCATTTTCTACCGCCGGCCATTTCGATCGCTCAAAAACAGAAGAAGAAAGCTCAAATGCAGCCTCTTCAGCGTCCACACCCACATTTCAAGACCCACGTCAGGAGATCTTGGCCGCTGCCCTGCCTCTGGTGCCGACGCACGGGTGGACTGAAGAGGCCTTGGCTGCGGGTGCGGCCTCCTTAGGCTTCCCTGCAGTGGCGCATGGCATGTTTGCGCGTGGGGGTATCGAGCTAGTGGAACATGTGCTAGCCCAAATTGATTCCGCATGGCTAGCAGAGCTTGAAGCCCGCAAGGAGGAACTTGCCGCCTTCCCCTCGTCACGAGAGCGCTTGGAAAAGGCGATACAATGCCGCTTACGCTTGATCGCACCACACCTCGCCCAATGGCCACAAGCGATGGCGCTAAGTTTGTCACCGCAGCATCTGGAGACGACCGCACGGGGCCTGGCGGAAGTAGCGGATGAGTTGTGCGTGATATCAGGCGAGGACTCTGTCGATGTTCCAAATTGGTACGCTCATCGTGCCACTGTCTGCTCGGTGTACATCGCCACCGAGCTATTTTTCCTAACAGACTACTCTGACGATTATAGAGACACATGGGCTTTTTTGAATCGACGCCTCCAGGACGTCGAGGCCCTCTCCCACGCGCCGCGGAACGTGCAGGAAGGTGTGTTGGCATTTCAAACCGCTGCCTCAGCCATGGCGTCGGCGCTTTCCTCGCTGGCACAGCCAGCCGTTGTGGGAGTACTTGAGAAAGTACCTTTAACGGGCACGGTAGTTACGGTGGTGCATGCAGTACTTGCCAATTTGGCGGCGATGGCACCGACCACCCCTTCCCCCTTTGATCAGGAGGAGAGTAAAAAGAGTGAGACAGAAACGTCGACGGAATTCGGTCCTTCCACAGAGATAGATCCGTACGCGGGAAAAATAGAGGACAATGAAATCGCGAATGATGTGAAGAAAAAGTCTCCGTAAACGAAAGAAAAACTCCACGCGCGGTGCTAGTAGCCACGAAGCGGGCGGTAAATTGGCAGTACAGCGGCTCGAAAGCCTGATTGTGCTTATTTATTTGATGTTTGCCGAGAGATTGCATTCTCGAAAACAGGGGATGCCGTGTTATGAATGTCGCTTGTAGCTTTATTGGGACTGTCAATGGCGGGAGAAAGTATACTCAATGATATTTTTTCCCAGCCTCCCCCCCCTTCCCTTCTACCCCGTGGATGCCTCGCCTTGAGCGACACCGCGTTGCCCGGGACGACGCTGGAACAACATCGAAGTACGCAACAATTGCACCATGTTTCACTTATTTACTCCTCACAAATTTGCAGGAGGAGTGGAAGCGTTGACGGCCTTGGGTGATTTCGGGGTTTCGAGAATGAACTTGGAAGCCTGCTTTTGGCTACGAACAGTAGGATAAACGATGGATGGGGAAGGAGACTTCACGTTCATGCCTGCCCTCGGGGAGGCAGCATCCTACCCGTCACCATCACCATCAAGCGAGGCGGGAAATGCTGAAAGCATGGACGTTGTGGCTGGGACGGAGCAGCCCCTGGGCCTTGGTGAGACTCCTCTTGTGGCGTCACACCATCATCCTCTCCTTTCGACTCCGAATCCCAACACTCCATGCGGAGGGATGGACACGGAATGTAGCCTTACTTCATTTCTTTCCCAGGGAGACGTGATCGATGCTGTCCAATTATCACAAGACGTGGTGGACTCGGATGCCATGGAAATAACGGAGGCGCGAGAGATATCTTCTAGCGTCGACGCCTTCGATGCCCCGGCAATGCCGTGTGACACACTTACCTCGCTGGAAGAGAATGGAAGAGACGATGACCCATTTCTCTGTACACTGCAAGACATAACAATGAACGTTGGTGCCGATAGTGAACATAGTCTTGTCAAAGAGCTGGCAGGGGCAACAAAGGAAGCATCGGGCATCGACGCGCCCACAGCATTTCCTGACGTTCTCCTTTCGACCTTCACTTCGCACACTGACATGGAAAACAGACAAGAAAGTGAAGATATTATCAAAGCTACAACACCGCAAGAAGAGGCGGGAGGCTCGGGAACACTATCGGAAACGCCCACAGAGAGTAACGTAGCGGGTAAGGTCGAAGGGGAGATGGAGCCCTCCAGAGCAGGGGACGCTCTTTCAGTCATCCCAGCTGCCAGTCCAGCTGCGTTCACCTGTGTAACACCGTCTCAGAAAATTGAAGCGGGTACCCCCTCTGGTCCGCTCCCCCAAGGCGAAGTGATGAATCGCATTGCTCAGGGCCAGGCGGCCCTGGTACAGTCGCAATCGAACCAGCTTCGCGCACTCGTCCTGTGGATAGCAACAGCGCCTAGGTTGGGTCTATCAGAATCCGAACCAGCATATGCCACATTTCTTCACCGCCGTCGACCGCAATCGTCCCGGGGGGCATGTCACATCATCGACGAGCTGGAAGCACGCCTGATGCAGTGCTTCGACGCCCGGGGTCGGATAAGCAGGGAGAGCGCCGGGGACGCGGTCCTGGACCTGATGCTGCAAGCTACCAGTGACGAGAACAAGGTGCTGCTCATCGAGGTGCTGAAAACGTCGACGGACACGGCGGTGCTGGAGCGGCTGGTCCATAACGGGGTTCTGCGTGTGCTCAAGCACTGGGTCTTGGAGTACAATCAAGCGACCGACGACCAGGCGGTATTGCGCTTCCTGCTGGAGACTTTGCGAGATCTCCCCGTCACGTATGAGAGCTTGCGTGGGAGCGGGCTGGTTGCGCTGATCACCAAGATCAAGAAAGACAAGCTCGGGGGCG